GGGGGGGCTGGAGGGAAGCAGGAGGGATTTTGGGTGTTGGGGAGAGGTCTGGAGGGATGTGGGGTGCAGGAGGGGGGGTGCAGGAGGGTCCTGGAGGTCCAGGGGAGTAGAGGGGGTTGAGGGGGCCTGGAGGGATGGAGAGGGGAATTAGGGGTGTGGGGCGTGCAGGGGTAGGAGGTGCAGGGGGATCACTGCAGGGACGGGAGGAGTTTGGGAGGGGATGAAGGGGTGCAGGGGAGTTAGGGGGCAGGAGGGGGGAGCTGCAGGGACGGGGGGGCAGGAGGGTCCTGAGGGTAGCGTGTGTGGGGACTTGGGGGGCTGAGGTTGTGGGGCCTGGAGAAATGCAGGAGGAGGGAGATTCGGGCACTGGGGGGTGGGGGTGCTGCTGGTACCATGCCGGTGCCCACCCGCCTCCTGAGGGGCACAGACACCCCCGGGCACCGCCGCCGTGCCCAGCGTGCCGCAGTCCCCCCCATCTCTCCCGCAGGCCCGGAGATCCCCCTGTCCAGCTATCCCCCCGCAGCCCCCCCCGGCACCGTTCCCCATGGACCCCAAAGCCGGCCCTGCACCCCCCCAGCCCGGCTTCACCCCCATGGCCATGTACCCCCCTCCCGGGCCCGCCCAGTACCCCGTGTACCCCTCGGGGCCCCCCGTCTACAACCCCACAGGTGAGCAGCGGGGGGGGCGCGGGGACCCCCCCGTCCCGCGGGGGGCCCACTGGGCTGGCAGGGGGTGACCCCCCCGTGTGCTCCCCCCGCAGCACCCCCGCCCTACGCCCCGGCACAACCCAGTTATCCCGGAGCCTGAGCCCCCCCGGGGACCCTCGCACCCGCCGCCGGCCAGCGGGGCCGGGCTGGGGACCCCCGGCCCCCCACCTCGAGGCGCTGGGGGGGCGCCCCAGCACGGGGGGGAGGCGGCGGCAGCGGCACAGGGCGGCCCTTGTCCCGCACACTGGGCCCTTTGTGGGGGCCGCTCCCCCGCCTCTGGGTGCCCACGGACCCGGGCACCCGCGGGGGGGTCCCCATGGGGGTCCCCCGAGGGCCGTGCGCCGGTGCCCCCCTGCACGACCACCTCTGGATTCCCCCCCCGGGCCCCTCCCCCCCCCCCCCGGGGTTGGCATTAAACCACTTCTTGTGCCCACGCCGTGTCGGTTTGGTGGCTCCGGAACGGGGGGGCAGAACCCCCCCGTCCCCCACGGGAGCTGTCAGAAGTGGGGGGGACATAAACTCCTCCTGCTCCTGGGGCTTCACCACCTCAGAATGTTGTTGGCACGCGCAGTTCCCACCAAATCAGCCGCTGGGATGAGCCGGCCTGGGAGCGCTGCCCCCGCCACTCCCACTCGAAAATTAGGACACGAAACCACCCCCGGGCACATTTTCGGTGAGAAAACGGTCAATTTAGTGCTGGGAAAGGGGATAATTCCCCCATCCACCCCCCTCTCCTGGTCAGGTCCTCTGAGGGGAAGGGGGGTCACCCCAATGGTTGCTCCTGGTGGGATCCAACCCCCCCCAAACCATCACCAGGACGAGGGTGGGGGGATATTTGGGACCACCTTTGCTTCCAGTGGGAGGAAAAGCCAGGTGGCCCCTCCGGGGGTGCAACCCCACCCCCTATCCCCCCAAAAACCCCTCGAAAATCCTGGGGCTGGGGGGGAGTCGGGGGGGCACCTCCGAGTTTTATTTGAGTGGGGACTGAGGGGCCAAGAAAAAATAATAATAAAAATTAAGAATAAAAGCCACGAGGTGGGCACTGGATGGGGGGGTGGGGGTGTCCCCGCCGGTCCAGGGGGCACACACAGCCAGCTGCGTGGCGCGGGGGGGTGGGGTCAGGGCCTGGGGACCCCCCTGTCCCGGAGGTAGAGGTCTCGGATGTCGGAGAGGCTGCGGTCGAGTGCTGCCAGCGCCTGGGCGATGCCCCGCAGCACCGCCGTGGTCTCCCGCCGGCTCTCGGCGTATTCCCGGCGGAATTCCCGCATCTCCCGCACCAGCTGCTCGCCGGAGCGCGCCAGGCTCAGCTCGGGGCTCTCGGGGGTCCCGCTCGGCCCCCCCGCCCCGGGGGGACTCTCGGCCCGGCTCAGCCGGCCCGGCTCGGGCTCGGGCTCCAGGAGGAGGCTCGGGAGGTCGGAGCCCAGCGGGTCCTGCCGCCCCCCCAGCTCGCCCAGTGCCACTTCGGGGGGCGCGGGGGGCGGGGGGCTTCCGCTCCAGCCCTCGCGGGGCAGGCGCCGCTCGGAGCCGCGACCGGGGACGCCGGGAGTGCCGGGAACGCCGGGAACACCGGGAATGCCGTCGGGCTCAGTCTTCACCTCCACCGGCTCCTCCTTCAGCGGCTCCTCCTTGACGCCTGTGGAGGGGAGGGGGAGCAGCTGTGGGATCCCTCCCAAGTGACTGATCCCCTTGTCCCTCCCACGTCCTAGTCCCAGAGTCTCTGCCACAGTCCCCTCTGTCCCTGCCCCGGTCCCTCCACCCGCCTGTACTGGTCCCGGTGTTCCGGTCCTGGTTTTCCCCACATCCTGGTCCCAGTCCCTTCGTGGCTGTGTCTCCCAGTCCCTCCATGTCCCTGCCCTGTTCCCCTGGGTCTGTGTCTCC